AGGACAACTGACGACTGCTCATCACTTCAGGAGGACCTCGATAGTCTGTCAGCATGGTCTGCGTCATCCGGGCTGTCGTTCAACGAGACMAAATGCAAGATCYAAACCATCACTARGAAACGAAGCCCAATAACCGCTAGTTACCAGGTATCTGGTTGTGTCATCGAGTCTACAACGATAGAGCGCGACCTTGGCGTTTCAGTATCCAGCGATCTGTCCTGGAACAAGCAAGTTTATGAGCAAGCTGCTCGCGCCAACAAGATTTTGGGTTACATCAGAAGGAATGCTAAATCCATCACAAGCACATCTTCGAGACGCACTCTATACCTTGGCCTGGTACGTCCACACATTGGTTATGCCACCCAGGTKTGGGCGCCCCAATCTATAGAACTAATCTCGAAGGTCGAATCGATCCAAAGACGGGCCTCTAAGTTCATCTTACGCTTGCCCTTCTCAACATCTATAGAATATAAGCAGCGACTCCTATCATTAAATCTTCTTCCGGTTACCTATTGGCATGAACTGTTGGACCTGGTTTTCTTCTTCAAGGCCACACATAACTTGGTTTCTCTTCACGGCTCTGTTCTTACAATTAAACGTGTTGCAAGACCTACGCGCTACTCTAACAATCTTACCAAATTTGTTCCTAAAAACTGTAAAACAAGTACATATCAAAAGTCATTTTTCATTCGATCCTGTCGTGTATGGAACACACTAGTTAGTCTTTTAAACTTTGATACTTTAAGCTTGAGCTCCTTTAAATCTGCACTGTATAATTATTATCTGGACAGTTTCTATATTTCCTATGACCCTTATAATCCAAGAACCTTTAAGACTATCTGTTTAAAATGTAATTCTGCCCGTCCCCTTAACGTAAGAATATCTTGCTGTATGTAATTTTATTGTTCTTGTCTTTTAATCGTTTTACCTTGGGCCCGCTGTAATTGGCTCTGCTGTTGCGGTGTCCCTGCCACTTTCTCATTATTGTGTTTGCATGTTATTTATTTATGTTATGTACTCATGTATTTACAGATGTTATTCTTGGCGAAGCTAATAAAATAAAAATAAAAATAGGAGGGGGGGCGTAAAACCTGATTTTCTCAAGCAGAAAATTAATCAAAACCCCCCTCCGAAGTGAGTCGAGTCAATTGTAGCAACGGAAACTAATTCACTAAAGACGAACCCAGAGGTGTCTCATTGATACTTTACTCATCTAAACCTAAGTGTAAAGACAAGAACTTCAGCAAGAGGATCCGACGGGGTCTGTTCTGCTAAATAACTGTTCTTGTACGATATTTTGTCCTGGGAAAAGAAATTTTTATTTACATTGTGGAAAATCTCAGAATCAGATTTTGTTCCTGCCAAAGGTTTTTAACCCGGATGGGGGGAGGGGGAAGGGGTACTCGACCCCGTTTTGGATAGGTAAGTGCCGCCAGTGGTCTAAAGTGGTCTAAAATCCTGACCCTGTTTGAGACACTAGAAAGTGAAAATCCATACCCTGTTCAAGACAAATCGGAAAAATAAGGAATGGCTACAGTGTGTTGCCCAGTATCGTGCCGGTACCAGTATCGTGCCAAAAAAAATTAAGTCAAATTTCGCGCTACGGAAATGAAGTTTCGGAAAACAAAGAATTCCGAAATTAAACCGAATGCAATCACTACCCGAAATCATGTTTGGCGGGAATCTAGACATCTTTGTGTTCTAGAAGGCCGCCAATTTAGCGAGGTAAGTTGAAATCTTTCAGCTAAAACTCATGCGTTTTACTGTGCAGTAAATTGAAAACATCTTAAAGCTCACAAGATTTAGTTTCAATGAAATTTCTCCAAATTTGGACTTAAGACAGCTAGAAAATGTATGTTTACATAATAGACTAGTTTGCGGATATTTGCCAAATATCGTATTTGCAATAATATTCAAGGTGAAATTTTTGGTATTTTTTTGGTTCTGTTGCCCAGTATCGTGCCATATACAAAATAATTTTTGTTGTGAATGATGAAATTGTCAAAGCATCTTTAGAAATGAATGCAAAGTATGTTTTTATGTGTGTAGATGTTTTACCTTCTTCATTTGTAGCTTTGTGGTTAAATCTTCGTTGATTGTTGTACACAACAAAGGATGTAGCACGTATAATTCAATTCCCTCTTCTAAATTAAATTTCAATTACTTTTCGGCCCATATATAAGAAATGATATGAGTAAAAAGGTATAAAAACTAACTGTTAGTATTACGGCTGGGATGCTGAAGGTCCCTCAAGGTCACCTCAACGCCCCGGTTGGCCATACATAGTTAGATATACTGAGATTCATCCATCGTTCTTTTATTGAATCACGTAAACTATAATAAATCGTATAACAAAGCTAATTACTGAAACTGGCTAGAATATCATATATAAAACGCTTACAAATCATGACTTAAATCTATTACATAATCACTATAGACTCACGTGTGTTCATACAATCGTACAAATAATGGTCTTTAGAAACTACAAATCACTTGCGATACAATGCAGATTACTTATAATCAATGAAAGTTCGTCTATGCATCGTTGTATGCTATTTAAATGCAATAAATCAAACAATTACCTTCTCTTAGTCCTTATATTGTAGCATAGAAACTTTAGCTGCTAGCGTGTCYCAATCAATGTGTCGAAATGTAACGCGATATGACAATAACTAATTAATGGTTAACATACTATCCTTAACATGGCTCCTCTAAATTGACATTACAATTTAAATCAATCAACTATCGTAAAATCAATGTTTTTTTTTCTTTTTTTTGCTTGGTTTGCAATAACTGTTCCTTAAGTGTTCATGTATAGTACGGTTTCACCTTTGACGCTGTACCTATGGCTCCTCGAGGGGGATTCCCTGGTCTCTTCGCTGTTCAGTCTTTGAGTAGAGCATAACAAGCTTGTGGACTGGTCTCTGCAGCAGGGTAAGGGGTCTTGATCTTTTGCCTTTACAATCGGCKGAGGMATCAGCGACTGCAATGGTGACTTTGCGAACCCTTTCATCGTGGCAAGGCATAGTTTCCGTTATGCGAGCTAACATCCACTTGTTGCGTGGTTGTTGTAGCCAAAATTCATCAACCAAGTAACGCACAGTTAAATAAGTGTGTGGTTCTATTCACAATCAACAAAATATTAAGTATACGGTACATTACAAATCTACTATCTACTGGTTACAAGAAATATAATATAGAAAATACAATTCAAATTTACCTTGTCGGTGAATTACACGGCTTGACTACAACATGAGAAAACTAAACGAATTTACATATTACGAACTACTAAGAACAGAATACTATACTCAAGGGAAACATATCATTACATACCAGTTACTTATCGGACAAAGGAAACGTAAACAGTTCTGCACAAAACACTTAAATAGAAAATAAATAAATATATAT